GAAAAGTTTCGTTCAAGGTCGTTGTCCATAAAAATAATTGCAGCGGAGGCGGCGTCGGACACCGACAGCAGCACCGGCGACGAGCACCCCTCCCACCACAACCACCACGCGAATACTCTAGACGACAACTGCAACTCCGAGCGCGCCGCGGACGACGCCGGCTGGCAGGTCGCTTCTCTATTGCTAAAAAGTTCATTGAATAAATTCTATAAACTCAATTTACGCAAAACAGAATCACAAACATTTGTAATGAAAATAAAATAATTGTGTAATCAGAGTGCTTGGAGCGCGGAGGAGGGCAGTCGGCCCGCGTCCCGCCCTCCGTCCGCCGCCTCCGCGCACACGCCGCTCGCACACGCGCCCCACCCGCACAACGCGCAGCACAACGCGCAGCACAACGCGCAGGACGACACGCACTGGGTCGACGTCGTCTCTGGTGCGTCTGCTCTTCGAAATAACTTCAATGAGGGCTACGTAGCACCGGCTGGGGGCGGAGTCGATGTCGTGCGCCATTCAACACTTGCATGGCAAACACATCATATGATGCATCGATCAATAAAATTCTTCAAATATTCGGTTAACCACTTTGGCGGACCGCCGCTAAACTTACGCATCGAGAACCAAGCATTGATTTTTTGATCGTGTGATACGATGCGTTTTCGGTTTCAGTTCCGTTAATGATGGCCTACGTCACCAGATACGTGCCGGGGACGGACAAGCTGAGGCCGGGAGCTTTCGAGGTGAGTCGGAAGGACCTTTGATCTGTTTGAGAGAGAAAGAGATAATTGCATATGACGAGCACGTGCGGGGTGCGGGGTGGGGTGTGGGGTGTGCGCAGGTGCGGGGGGCGCGCGCGCACGTGACGACGGGCGTGGTGCACGCGGAGGACCCCGCCGCGCTCTCGCAGTGGCTCAAGAGCATCTCCGACAACATCGTGGGCCTCACCAACCTGCAGGTACGTCTGTGCGGAGGAGGGAGGGCACTGCGCACTCACCCACACCAATGCGTGTCGCTGTGCAGATGAAGCTGTTCAACCGGCACCTGGCGGGCGGCGAGCGCATCGAGTACATGGGCTGGGTGCACGAGGGCGTGGTCAGCGCCGCGCAGCCCTGGCAGACCTACCGCCCCAAGTTCCTCCTCCTCAAGGGAACCGACGTCATGCTCTTCGACGTGCCCCCGGTGACTATACACATCACTTCCTTCCTAACCTACTAGGGAACAGGGAATAGATAATAGATGACGATGTAACATTTGTGTTCGCGTAGATGAACATAACGGAGCTGGCGAAGTGCCCGGAGACGCTGAAGGTGTACCAGACGATGTTCCGCACGGTGAAGGAGAGCGAGACGGTGGACTGGCGCCAGCACTGCTTCCTGGTGCAGGCCAGCGGCGCGGGGCCCGGCGCTGCGCCCGCCGGGCCGCGCTACTTCAGCGCCGACACGCGCCGCGACCTGCTGCGCGTCGAGGCCGCCTGGACCCACAACATCGTCAACTCCGTCGTGCGTCTCGGGGTACGTCAATATACTTCCCTAACGATACTTCCCCCTCTCTGCATCTTTAT